GAATATAGGCTTTGAGTACTCAATCATTTTGTACCTATAGATTGTTGAGAATTGATATTAACAATTAGACCTCGAGGTCGAGTGGCCTACGAGCTAATAGCCCATGAGGCCGAGTCCGCGCCAAGGCCGAATGGGCTATTAGCTCGTAGTCCACGAGGCCGAGAGGTCTAATTGTTTTAGAAATAAACATACTAATCGGTCAAATAATGAAAACAAATTGAAATATCCTTAAAATAATTTATAATTTATAATTTATTTATTTTGATTTTCCAGCGAGTCACGGTCTATCACAAATTAGACCATGAGTAGAGTAGCCTATCACAGCGCAGTATGAGCGGAACCCGATTAAGCGGTCTTAGATCGTCATACAGATGACAGTGTACATTCTTCCGCTTGCCTATCATTTATCACGCAGGTTTTAAAAATCTCATCTACCAACTTGAACGCTTTTCTAAATGCATCCTGTGCACGGTTCCTTTTATGTATGTAATTAGTCCTAATCGAGAATTACAAATGGACGGTAATTAGCCAAATTAACGCTGGAATCGATAATAAATACAATTATAATGCTATCTTTGTTTTTTTTTGTCATTATGTTTATTTTAGATGGCCATGAGGGACTTCTTAAAATAAGTCTTTTGTTTATGCTTCTTTTGAACAGCTTTTTTGCATCATGCTGTCATCGAATTCAAAGATAGGGGAAAAAATAGAAATATAATAACAATAATAGTATTTGCACTTGTTGATGTTTCTGACGAGCAATTTCCGTTTCTTTAGATTCAGTTGTTTTCTTTGTGGTCTGTTAAGACGTGCAGTAGCTAGAAAGTCCAATGAATACCAAATCTTATTGAAAATTGTACCTGTCAATCAATCATGATTATTCGCACAAATCGTACATCAGATAAGTTATTGCTTTGATGTAAGTTTACATTGATATCGCTTCATTTAAGACAGCGAAGAATGGTAAGCGTAAGATCTTTCTCTATATAGTGAATATATTCATAGATTTTCGAGAAAATTATTAAAACCAAAATTTKACCTTTTCATCCACTATTATAATATGTTTGTAAATTGAATTCTCCTTGAGATRTGATTTTATCTGCAATTGGGTGATGCCCAAAAAGATCAAAACAAGTGCAACGCTTATACTACTTTCAAAAGTGTTCAGCATTTTCTTGCCTAATTTTATTTATCGACAAAAGGGCAATTACAAAGAGAATTGTAGTTTTTATTTCAGTTTTGTTTATAATTCTTCTTACAGAATTAAGCCGTAAATGCTTAAAGTACAGTTTGGTTTTGCACCCAAGGCCATCTTTTCTTTCGATCGTGACGACTTGGAGCMGGCCAAGCAATACTTGCAATTCTTAACAAATTCAGTATGATTTTATCGATTCTATTCAACTGATCCTGTTTTATCCTGAATTAAGTTATAATAATTATACAATTTGTTCATATTTCAGATTCCGAACGATGAACAATACAACAGTCAATGCTACACAGACACCAAGCGTCAACCCAAACAACTGCAATACTATTCCATGCCTTTTCACTACTGCTGAGCTTGTCGTGATAGCAATATGCTCGTTCGCCGTTATCCTGGTTGCTATTGTTGCAAATACATGCACAGGAATTGTGTTGATAGCGTCCAAAAATCTCAGGAACATTTCCAGCATTTCRATCATAAGCCTTACACTGGCAGATCTTCTTCTGTCCATCTTTGTAGCACCATTTTTGATCATATCTGTCTTCTTTGTCAATGTCTGGGTGTTCGGAGCTGTAATGTGCAAACTGTACGTGTTCATTCAGCGCGTAGCAGTGAGTGCTATTCTCCTTAACCTTCTTGTTGTGTCCTTGGAAAGGTTCTTGGCGGTATGTTTTCCTTTCTTCCTGCGCATGCGTCAGAAGCTCTTCTTGTATGCTATCATCTTGGTTTGGATCGTTGCCGTTGCCATGTCAACCCCGGACTTATTTTACATGCGTCTGTTTATGCTGAAAGACGGCGGTGAGGGGTGTTTCAGTGAGCAATCTGTGCAGTCCGCGTTGTTCCAATCTTTTCACGAGATGTTCTTT